CCATATGTTTCTGCGTTGTAACTCGCCAGTTCTTTGTCTCTGCTGGTACCAGGCTGAGTCGCAAACCTGGTACCAGTAGAGCGTCGAATTCTGGGGGAAAGGGTGGGGTAATTGTACCAAGCGTGACTTATCCCATGGCGGTTTGCCTTTGTTTCAGATGCAATCCATTTGTGTGTATTTGTGTGTTAGATTCAACAGTGGTTGCGCATTTCATAATTTTTAACAGTATTTTAGGCATTTATGTTTTCAGTTTAGTTAACTTTTAGACAGTACATGAAAAACACATGTCTAAGTTGGATATTTTGGACCATTTTAAGCCTGACACGTCGATTTCCTAAAATCTGTTTCTCTTGGGCGCACCATTTAGAAGTTGGTGAATTCTCAGTTCTTTCCACAGTTGCCGTTTTTCTCACATTCCAGAAAACTGTGTGATGTTTCATTTTATATGTAGTCTTGATGCCTGTGTGAGTAATTATCCCGATTTAATAACCAGTTTCTTTTATAAAAAATCAAATCATCTGACGTTTTTAATAAGGCCGTAAATAGTACCACATAATAGCAACGTTTGATCTGAAAACTTTTTGTTCGTAATCGTGTTAATAGTTCGTTGTAGTTCTGGGGCCAGTTTCACGGTATCCAATTATTTGTAGACGAAAAACCAGGACGGCACTGAACAATGGATCCCAGTTTTTGCGGCTGTGACACAGAACGATCTGCTCTTCTACGACCACTTTCCTTCAATGAAATCGGATTGGGCGAACCCTCGTTGTACGTGTCCCCTGATTGCCACCAGGTAAGTTCAGTCTGACGGTCATTTGCTGGTCGTTGATCGTTTTTACACCACGGTACGTTTTTCGTTTCGTTCCGTCAGACTCGTACACACAACTTCGCGCAGCAATCCAGTGATCACGGGATTGACGGACATCATTTCGTTCACTACGCGCACCGGAACGAAGCAGGGCATCGAAACGCACATCCTTAGGGTAATGACAATTGATAACAATGATAACTTTGACTGGATGATGATAACAGTTTGCCTTTTTCTGTTAGGTGATTTTTGCTGGTTGCAATTTCAGTCGTTCTGGCTAAGTATTCACAATATTCATCTCCTATATGGGTTTGCTTAGTTGTGCAGAGATCTGTGAACTACGAGTTATCGCTCGAAATGTTCGCAGTCGAGTTTAAAGTCCCTGGCATGGTGAAGAGACATGTAAAACCGCTTCTTTAATACTTTCTGAATCTACTTAATCTACTCTGTGGTTAGTGGAGTGCCTCTGAAACAAGTATTGTATATCGTTATCACGGTAAAGAGTGGGAGACGGGAGGGGGAGGCAGCATCGATTGGCGGATCGTTCCGTTTGTTGGAGTTCCCTGTGAAGTATCCCCAATCGTCGTGATCAGTGCAGAGAGAAATCTGTAGGCGAGGGTGTCTTAAATGGAGTTTTTGGGCAATGACCAATAAACACGATAAGACGAGTACAGAATGAAAAAATTGGTTTTCGGTGAAAAATCGCAGGGTGCTTGTGGAAAAAGAAAAGTTTTGAGCAGATTTTTTATTCTCATTTTTGGATCATTTTGTCCAGCCAAGCCGTTCTCTGGCCTTTGAGTACTTCGGACGGTTTTCTTAGACTCGTGGTTGACAATCACCCGATTATACCATCTCTGCTTAAGAAGACTGCGTAGACCTCAAAGTTGGATACTGTGAAGATGACGTGAAGCATAATATTGCAGGATAGCAGATCTTTCCACACTGTTCATGAACACTGCGAATGCTTTTAAGTTGGTTACCTTCGCTTCTGTTTCTATTGTCTAATTTTTCATACTTTCAGAAATGTGCTAATAAGCGTTAGTAGTCAGCATAATGAAATAAGAATGTTTAGGAGATATATTAATCCTCGGAAGGGTTATTAACAGTTAAAAGTAATGACGCTTTAACAAGAAAATGGCGATTACTTTCTGTCGTCTGAAAGCGAGGTGAATGTGAGTTTGTTACGTAATCTTGGTAATCAGATAGTACTTCTTTTCATCGTAGATGGAGCTTGACGATTCAGCTGTTTGCGGGAATAATAACTTATATCTCTGGTGCACTTAAGTCTGCATGTACAATCTACGAATGCGAATGAGCGTAACTTTTCTTAACGAAGGCTGGCAATATCTATCCGGAACTAAATCCCATTAACACTTTTGAACTATCATTCTGTTTCTGTACATCAAACAATAAACCTTGTTCCTGCCATCCGTAAAGCTTCTTGTGTTATTAAATCGAAGGAAGTAGAACAGTTTTAGTAGGTTCATTTCGGAATGACTATTACTTCAGTCTTCCAACATTTCAGCTTTGAACTTACAAGTCACTTTCAGAGTTAAACAGATGACAGTCTTTTTCTTTACAGCGATTGCAAGACATGATAGTATAATGATGGGGAGTTGAGGATTCTTTAGCGAACTTATTCCCTTCGTTGCGTATTTCTTTTACTGCCTAATGTGTAAAAGGTTTGTTATTGTAGGTGCAGACTCATCGCGACTTAGCCACTTGGGCTAAGACCATCGTGCACACTACTCATGAAGCGTGTCTGCTGATTAGAGAAGTATCTTGCCGTAAGAACTTTACCTTGATTTCATGTTGCGTTAAGATTCATTTCTAGCTTGCCTGTGCAAAGATCTCGAGTGTCGCGTAATTTTGCATTATGAGGACGGCATTACCCTGATTTCAAACAGTCCTTCTGGGCTCGGTAGCAGAACGTCCAGTCAGATTATATGGCAACAGCCGTACGAGAACATTCGATCGACTGGTGATGACGGCCACGTTTTTGTATGGATCGATTTCGGCGGCGACGTAGGGGAACAGGTAATAGGCAGATGGTCTTGAATCTCTTAGCGGTTCTAGTCATTCATTCGTTTATCGCACATGCGTTTGCATGATATCCTTATAGCACATCTTAGCATCGCGCCGAAATCCGGTGACCTGTGTTAAGTTATCAGAAATTACTGCCTCGAACGTCATTTCGACGTATTTGTCTGTAAGTTTATTTACCTAGATCTTCCGACCTGTTTCTCTACAAAAGTGCACATTTAGTTGCACTGGCAGCTCCTTAGTCAGATTTTGTTGTACAAAACGTATTAGTATGTTTCTTTTCTGCTACACTCTTCCTCGAAACACCCACACTTCATCTTGATTCTCACGTGAATAGCTGACCAGAAGTAGCAATTCCTTTACTTAGGTATGAAGCAAAGGAAAAGAAAGTTAATTACCGTTTGGATGTCGGTGTTCGTAACAGTTTCCTGATAGGACCATTCTGATGCCTTTTTTCATGAAGTTGGTGATGCGGTGCTGTAATCGCTATTTCTGTGCCATCAGCCAGGAGTACCTTATTTTAAAGGCAGAGTCTACAGCTACATGACAAGCGTGGCGTGTAGTCTCCTGTTTCTTTCCCATAGAATGGTACACATCTGTCAACCTTGAAAGGAAGAAGGGCGAGTGATCCTGACCGGGGCTTGAACTTGGGATCTGTAGATTCTGAGTTTGACGCTCGACCGACTGAATAACCCTGGTCTTATGCAGTGCATGGTAGATTCCTTGCTCAAGGAAATTTGTGAATAAAACAAAGATTTCCTTAAGCGGAATCGAACTCAGCACCTCCGGAATCGACGCAGACCTCTTAGACAACATTGCCGCACGCCACAGGCTTGAGTGCTAATATAAAAGCGATTCATTTTCAGAGCTTGCTTTTCCCTTCGGGTCGCGGGGGCAGCGGCTTCAGGTAATTTTTCCAATCATTTGCCAATGGGATAAGCTCCATAAGCAGAACTTAAAGGTGCGACTCCTTAAACTTAATGTTTGGAAGTCTCTCCTCTGAAATCCTGTCCTTTGCTAACAACTGAAATTGTTTTTTGTCATCTGTCTAAAGCTGTCAGTGCTTAAATAGCGGAATAGTAGTCCAACCATTTGTGATGCCGCTTGGTTAGACATGATGTTTTTGATACGGATTAGGCAGAATTCCACCGATGAGGCAAAGATCACATTCCTCATTGCAAACAAATTATACTCAAGATGCTTTCACTTTTTGTGTAGTTTTCATGCATGTCTGCGGTCTGTAGTCAGTTACCATATAAAATTTTTGTCAGTCTTACTTATTGCATAAGAGGCTTTTTATTTTAAATCCAACGAGCTGCGCTTAATCTTTGCTGTTTGCTGTTAAATGAGGTATTGT